ATACAGAAAATTAAAGCTCCAAAATGTACTTTGAAGCACGGTTCCATGTAAGCAAGAATAATATTCGGTTAACTCGAATGTAATCATGAACTGCAAAGCTGGATGTTGGATATGGGGAATTATCATCTGTGAAGGTGAATCGAATTGGGAAAGCATAAAGGTGATAAAATTATGAGAGTTGTTAACACCTTCCTACTGCTCATATCCAAAAGTTTACTTCGTGACGTACCTTCAAAATTAATTCACTTAGTATAGGCAGTCTCATCAACCTGAGTGTTTCACTGCAAAATGTAAAAGATAGTTGTATGGAACCCATGTGTTCGCACACACACAGATTGTAAACGCTTGTTATTTGATTACATTAGACCAGTATTTTCATACGCCATAATGCTAGCAACTCATGCTCATGATGCGAGGATCGTACTACTTATACGACTGACCTATAGGAGTTTCCAATAAAAGGCAGGCAGTATCAGCTGAGAATGCTGACCATCCTCGGAAAACAATACTCTCGTCTCCATACAACAATCTGTTCATCAATAATCCTTATCGGAAAGGTACCATAGAGATAAGTTATGCGTGCAAATTATTGTGACCCGTTTACATACTGTGCTTGCTGGGCTTAGATGCCCATTATTGATGATGATAGGAATGCCTAACTACTACCGCCACACGGCATTAACAAGAGTCAAAGACATTCAACAACAACAAAAAGGTTGAAGATAAGGAAGCATACTCTGAAATTCCAACTAAACAGTCTAAAAGTTAACTTCCAGATCGACAGGTTAACATAGAAGTTTGCACAGAAGTGCATTAATTCGACTTGCCACACTAAGCAGCAATAGACAACGAGGAAGCTAACACATGTGTAACACCAGAGAAAATGATTAGCTTAGTGAATGTGAAAACATAGATGGTAAGAGCAGGACACATCCGCACCACTGTCATTGATTGAAAGCCGTGTCACCTACAGTTTCTATGCACTAAATCCTACGATCTATACGGCATGCTACCAACAGATTCGCTACATGCATCAAAGCAACAAGTAAAAATATCATTGAGTTGTGTCAGGTCTCAAATTAAAAACATAGAACTAGGAGTTACTACTGAATAGTCGTACAAGCTGTCGCGTCTCATATCAACACAACAAGGGAAAAGCACTAGGGTGAATAAATAAAAAATAATCAGACATAAGCTATAGAAAGTAGTAGAATGGAGGGAGAAGGAATAAGAAAATACTGAATTCATTATGAAGATTAAAATGAAGATAATGTATAGGAAGATTTGCGCCACTGAGATCGACTCTCAACCATATCACCTAGAGTTTCTAGCCACTGGTTTCTGTTGTCGTGCGGACGCCAACCGGGATGTCTGCATTCCTTTACAACATGACTCACACCAACAGTCAAATACTCCATACATCAATGCCATGTTTCCTTCGTTCACCCCTGAACTTCCAACCTAAACCTATCTCACCCAACAATATGCGATGAAGCAGACAGTGGCTAGGCATGCACAACAGATCTACCAGTCACCTAAGTCGATGAAAATTCACAATCTCATCAACTGGCTTTCCTCTGCCCTATAAAACGTTACAACTGACTTCTAAACCATTGACGTGTTAAGACCGTGAGGCACATCGGAGACAACGATGGTCAGAGCATTTCAACCTTATCATTCTCATGTCATCTGCTTTATTGGTTATGTTGTTCAGCCATCTGGTAGAGCAGAGCGCACTTTAGCACAGTCACAGTACACTGGACTCTTAACAGAAAACCACATATCACAGTGATGACATAAGTGGTGTACGTTAGCGAAAGTCATTTGATCCCTCTGTATCCATCCAGACATTTCGTCAGCAACAGACCCAACAAGGCTGATCAGACCACCCATATAAATGAAGTGGGCAAGTGGGAAATCTCGTTTTTCTTTAAGAGTGGGACAACTAGTGATTAAGACCAGTCATCGTATCTGACTCGTATACACTAGTTAATAATTCATTTATTTTAACAAATCTCTACACTGCCGTCTCTAAGCACTCAGGTGTTAGTCAATCTAGAACTGCTGTTGTCCGTATTCTCAGGTCAACTACAGATGCATGACCAGGTATGTGGTCGCCCTGCATGCACCGCATCTGTTCAAATCAACGAAGGTGAACAACCTTGTCAAGCGAATTACCTGTCTTGCCTATTACGCCCAGCTTAACCTTAACATTGCCCGCTGAGTGGGTCTTCGAAGTGAAGACAAGAGAAAGACAAGGCTGCCGCCCATGATCTTCCAGACTGTGATAGACTCGACTCAACTGCACCGCGTCATGCAACAAACTGTGAGGAGCGACAAGACTGCGATTCACTGGTTGGACCGATATGAAGAACCTCCGAGATTTAGATTTTGCCGCCGATGATGGTTTACGTCTTAATGTCTTGTCGCACAAACTCAAAGATCTACAGGCGAAAACTAACAAGTTGACAGAAGAGACGAGGTTGCTAAGGAAGACAGAACTTCCTTCAGGTGGACGTGGAGAAGACGAAGGTGATGAAGACACCATCATCATCATCATCATCATTATCAACATAGGACCAGGCATTACTGCGTAACGGTCCGAGTTGATGAAGACACCCAAAAACAACCAATCACCATGAACGGGAGAAACTTATAAGTTGCCTCTTTCACCTACCTACCTAGGCAGCAACGTTTTAACTACAGGCAGCGACCAGGTAAGTCAAAGCCAGGATCGGTAAGACAGAAGGACGTCTTCATTAACCTGAAATCAATGTAGAGATCCACTCCACTCAGCATACAGAGCATGATCCAGATTTTCAACATTCTCAGTCAAGCAACTCATTGCTTCCATATGGTCCATTCGTAGACTTGGTGCGTTACGATAAATATTCCCAACAAAGTGTAAACATACATCATCAACAGCTGCCACCTACGCTCACTCGATACTGACACTGGAGATCAGATGGTCAGAGTAACAAAAATAAGAAAGGAATTGTCGATAGCTGGCAACGAACCAAGAACCTACCGACCAATAGTATGCAGAAGAAAGTGGAGATGGTTTGGATTGTGCATACACTGAGAAAGAAAACCGTTTGGAGACATCACTCGCGAGGCCAAACCCACGAGTGTAACCCGAATGGGAAATTACGAGTTGGGTGTCCGAGGCGACGCTGACATGAAGATGGTGTGAGGAAGGAATGAGCTTGCGGGTAGTCGAGGATGCATGTTTATATGACTGTAGAGAAGAGAGTGAAACGGCGATATGCTACTAAAATCATTCTTATGTTCCACCAGGAACCCAAGAAACATTTAATAAAATAAGATTATTCTAAAGGCCGTTTATCGCAGGGAACGCAGAATCACCATAGCACTGCTTTCTATCTACCTTACACATGTCACAGACCACCCATCTAGCAGTACAAATTCGCTCAAAAAAACTCAATCACGCAATTGACACTAGAACGTCAACCGCTTTTCGTGTAAGCAATATCGAAGGTTGGATTTAGCATACCACGAACAAGAATTAAAGAGAGTTAAAGCCGAGGCTTAGAGATTGAGGTAAGGAAAACTACAATTACCTGAAAGTTGAGACTATCGAACAGGCTATGAGGCAAGCTACGTCAAAATTGATCATCAATATTCACAAAAGTATATACGAGAAAAGTTTGCTTTTCGAATTTAAAGGTGAACAAACGAATAAACGGCTTCTTAACCTACAAAAATGCATTAAGACAGACAATCCTAACCGTTTACTCTAACACCAAATATAGTCAGGGGAAATAAACAATTAAAATGAGACATGTATGGATTCTCAAAAGCTCAATAATCCATAACAAGGTACAGGACACAATCAAAATGGGAAACTCGTCAACAACTACTGCTTTACCATGCATCAACAACATGCGAAATCTCACAAGCCGATTCCGACACGACCATCAGTGTGATCAACACAGCAGTCAGAAACAACAAAGCGCAATGTCAAAATTTATACCTACCAGTTAAACTAAGCCTAGTTTAAAAGATTTTAAATCACACAATTCACTCGAGTCATCACAGAAACTGTCAGCGTTTCCTAGTCTTCACATATAAAATCTACCAACTACCTGCATACACAGTCAGCTTTCTATAAGTGCTGATTTGCAATGGCCTAGAATGCATCGCAATCATTATTCCCGATCGAAATTCAGTCCCGGCCACCAGCAACGTATGACAGCAAAATATGCATCAACTAACCAGTTCAAGAGCCCTCTAATGCAGTACCTTGAGATAAAACGCTCCACAGGTCTATACCGTCTGCAAACTTCAGATCACAACTAACAAATTCTACAATAGCTAGAGCTGAGAACATAAACAGTACGAGACGCTGTCATCTTCAAATGTAGAGTAGCTTGTACAGCCACGTAAAATATTTAATTCCTCACAAATTCAAGCAATTTCACGCATACAAGTTCAGATGACGAGGATTTATGCAAATACGAATAGTGAAACATGAGGACATACCTCGATACACATGAGTGCATCTGCGCAATGTGCCTTTGCATCTATGTATATACAAATATATCGGCAAAAAGGGGTCACCATAGCTGCAGTCTAATACTACTCAATTTGTGCAAGTCTGCTCCACTGACCTCAACCATCACGCTAAATGAGTACAACCCGTGCTAACTGCAACGTCGATAGTCTGCTTATAAATACAGGAACATCATGACCATTACGCAGCTACATAAACTGGTTTACAGACAGGAACAGTTAGCAGGTCTTGGTGCATTAATCTCACTGGGATAGATCGCACTGCGCTGAGGTTACACTGTCGAACTCAACTTTAATAACAGCATATTGGGACTCCGTGGATAGGCAAAAGTTAGTACTACAGTCCAAAACTCAAATGTCGAGGAAACGTAGCTTCAAGCACTCACATAAAACAGAAGATTGCAAACCAGCGTCACTTCCAATCTAAGACAAAAGCCAGATAGCGTCCAAAGTGTTTATTCACAGAATCAAGCCCTTGGGGCAACAGGCCTGGTGTATTTGACACGAGGTTTGATGATAATCCTCCTGAGTCGTCTTGCTTCCCGACTTCGATTTCGAAGAACCTTACCGTGAATTGCACAACTGATGCAGTACTGAAGCTTGACGTACAACTTTGGGACAGCGTAGTTCTCTGAAACAAAGAACAGCAACGAAATTCAGACCACTTGAGGTCACTGATAGGAATATACACAATAGTTCAGACATGTGCAGCCCGTATCTGTGTCAGGTGGAACTGGAATAACTGACTCTGCAGAAGCTGCTATTAATTTGGGACATACTGTGGCTCCAGGCTACTTAGATCCTGGAACGTATCCATGTCCGCATCACAATACAAATATATTCAACTTACTTCCATATACAGATGCATCTTCTAAATCCTTAACGGCAGCTGCTTCCACCATACTTCGCGTCACTAGTTTCCATACGGACTTGTCTTTTGGGCATGCCCGGCCACAATTAGTGCAGCGTATGAACTGAACGTGACCACGACCCTTTTTTGACCGTCCATGATTCCTTCGTTTGCGTGTCTGTAATGCAAATTACATACGTCAAGTCCAACCGACAAACATTCACCTACCATGCCTGTGACCAAAGTACCCTCTAATTATGTACTAACCAGTCAAACAAAGGGTTTTCAATATTAAAGACTCGTGGTGTGCACATCCAATTTGATAAAAATCGGAACAGTATACACCCCATAAAAAGCTATTAGGATGTTTTATTAGTGCAATTAGGTGGCTTTTCACGTGCTAAACTTCATACAAATTTTATCACAGTTCTGTGATCTGAGAAAAGAGAGGGTTTTCTCTCGTCACTGTCATAGATGCTTCGCAAAAATAAGAGAGCGGAAAACGACGTTATTTCACGGAAGTCTTAAGCACCCAGTCGAGACTAATTCATACGCGCTCTACTCCAGACGCTTCTAAGATACAAATGTGGCTATCCTACTTTCTTCCAAAGGATCAGGTGATGAAGCCACACATGAATAACAAGTGTCTAGATCAAGCCAGTTTTTGACCCTCCTACAGAAATTATCCTGTGGTTTTAAGGCGCTATCAAACCTCAATGGGCTACAGTTCAACAATATTCAACTTTGGTAGTGACCATCACAATTTTAATGGATTGTTTTAGTTGCAGAAGTGCTGTGAAGCATCCATGCCGTTCGGTACGTTCTCGTGTTGCACTACGTTGCTAGTTCACCATCCCGTGGCCAACTAGTTCGGGCAGTTCCATGTGTTGCCACAACACGGCGAATATAAGATCCCTAACTAGTTACAATTTGTGTTCCTCCACAGTTTCGCCCTCGTGGGTATCCAACAGCTGGAAAGAATTAGTGGAGGGTCTGTGCGCATGTCCATATCGTACGAGACAACTTCCAGATACCTAAATATCCGGTGGTCAAATCACAGGTCGGGTATCTAGGTGGAAGAAACGTGAGCCAATGTGTATTTCTCACAGCTGCGATAGGACCGTTAGGATACCAAAATATTGCTGAATACTTGCATCCACCAAATCAATCATGGTCGTGAAACTGACCGGAAAGAAAATTGGGTTTTTGCCTGAATCGTGCTGACTTTTATTGAGTTCAAGTCAACCAGCAATCAAAGCCCCATAAGCATTACAGAATCTCATCCAGAATAACAACATGAGGACTCACTCGTCTCCTCCATTGACATGCTTTCAACAATCCATTTTTGGTGAGATGTCACTCTGAGATTAGGAAAAGAGAGCGATCACACACATTTCTAAAGATGATAGGTAGACCGTTCCAAACCATTACTTGACTTGTCAAGCGTTTTGAGGTCCTCTAGAACACCAGATGACTTCAGACAACATTGGTAGTGCAAAGTAATCGGTTTATCGCACAGGTCAGTTGGCATTGGAATTCCTGTACGTATCGCATACAAGATTTCTACAGTGTGTAATGCTTCGCAAACTGTGGACTTTGGGCATAGGGGGATCTTAGGTTCAATTTTTGATGGAAAGTCACAAAGAAAGCTAGGTTTCCATTAGGATTGGGTCATCAATGAGTATTTAGTGTGGTCCCCGTGGTGTAATGAAAACTGGGGTTTCGTGGTGGCAAGCAGTCCGACAACATCTTGAAACCAGTGCGATTTACGTAACTCTCATTTACTTGGCGTCAAGTGTATCGACAAAATAATATGAAATGTGTGCTACAGCTTCATGATTTAGCAAGTAGTCTGCATCCGTGCTTATGCTCATGAATTCGTTGTGCCTTTCTGCCACTGTTTTGGCCGACAAAGTGATTTTCACTAGGCTCTTCACTCATGTTGTTATTGAAACTACTCTTGAACAAGGTAGCCTTCAGCTTACGTATCTTACTGTGCATCTACTTATCTAATTTACGTGCCACGTTCGTACCGAATGGATGAAGTAGTTCGTTCACATCCTATAAATGATTTTCGACGTTTGGTGAAATGTTTTTTTCGTGCGTCCAGGCACTTGCCCTTTTTCTTTCGACCGGCGGGCATTAATGAAGTTTGGTGGGTGGCCATCACCCCCATTTTTCTTCATGAACTGTCATACACACTTTCAAGGCCCAAAATGGGGGGTAGCTCAAGGAAAAGACAAACATTTCTGGAGATCGCGAGCCAAAATCGAAACCACTGGAGTTAAAAACACTCGACAACCAGAAAGCATAATGATGCTATGAGTCTCAATAAAAACCTCAACGTGTTTGCGCAGAAGAAAACGACCAGTGTCTCTGGATGTACCCCCTTAATAAGAAAATTTGGACGTTATACCGAGCCATTAAATTTGATATGAGATGATTTCTACGCTAGTTGCACCTTCCACCATACCAGGTAGTGTTATCCGTAACCTGCTAAAGTACGTTCAATCATGCGTTCTCGCTTCATTATTGTGTGAAATTTTTTATCCAGTATGCCCTAAAATCTGCTATTCTTCTACGTCGGCCAGACATTTCACGTGATGAAACATTGTCACTTGCTGAATGATGCTGCGGGTGGAATGAGTTATTCATGGTCTTACCGAAGGTGGCCATACTTTTTGCATCCTGTCTTTATTTATTCTCCTCCATATGTAGTGAGGGTAGGGGATCGTGCCCGTAAAACTCACATGCACACTATTTTATTATTATTATTAGTCCCTTGGGTTCCTGGTGGAACATAGGGCTTCAGCAGCACGCCTCCAGTGACCTCTGTTCTCTGAGATCTTTTGAACCTGGTTCCACGACAGCCCACAACCTCTCATTTCCTCCTCGCATGACCTCCTCCATGTCACCCTCGGACGTCCAACTCGTCGCTTCCCATGGGGATTCCACTCGAGCAACTGGCCTGACGCGTGATGTCCTCAGTCAGCCTTCTCAGTGCATGGCCAATCCATCTCCACTTCTTCCTGCATATTTGTTGCGTGATAGGTTCTTGGTTGGTTCGTTCCCAGAGTTCCTTGTTGCTTATCTTTTCTGGCCATCTGATCTTCAGTAACGAGCGTAAGCAGTTGTTGATGAATGTCTGTAGTTTATTGGAAATGCCTTTGGTGACGCGCCAAGTCTCTGAGCCATACAAGAGCACTGACTTGACGTTGGTGTTGAAAATCCAGATCTTGTTCCACATGCTGAGTGCAGAAGATCTCCACACTGGTTTCAGGCTAATGAACGAAGCCTGTCTTGCTTTTCCGATTCTGACTTTGACGTCCTCGTCCGTCCCGCCTGTGGTTGAAACAATGCTTCCTAGATAAGTGAAGGAGGTTACTTCCTTCAAGTTTCTCCCGTTGACGGTGATTGGAGTTTGTTGTTGTTGTTGTTGATGGTGGTAGTGCGGTATCTTCATCACTTCTGTCTTCTCTATATTCACTTGAAGTCCCGTCTTGGCTGCCTCTTCTGTCAACTTGTTAGTTTTTGCCTGCAGATCTTCAAGTTTATGTGACATTAGGCATAAGTCATCGGCGAAATCCAAGTCTTCTAGGTTCTTTTCCGCAGTCCAGTGTATCCCCCTCTTCTCGCTGCCTACTGTTTGCTGCATGATCCAGTCCACCACAATCAGGAATATCATGGGGATAGTAGGCAGCCTTGTTTCACTCCTGTCTTCACTTCAAAGGCATCACTGAGCTTCCCATTGTGGATTACTTGGCATGTGGCATCTTCATATAGTTGTTGAATGAGGCGGATAAAGGTTTGCGGTACTCCGTAGTATTGAAGCAGTTTCCAAATTACTTCTCGGTCGACGCTGTCAAAGGCCTTCTCAAAGTCGATGAAGTTGAGGTAGAGAGCTGATTGCCATTCTACGCTCTGTTCTATGATGATACGAAGTGTTGCAATTTGGTCTGCACATGATTTGTACTTCCTGAAGCCTGCCTGTTCCGGTCGCAGTTTTGAGTCCAGTGCGTCTTTAAGTCTCTCCAGGATGATGCGGCTTAATATTTTACTTGGGGTGGACAGGAGAGTGATTCCGCGCCAGTTCTTGCAAGCACTGAGGTCTCCCTTCTTCAGCAGTTTGACAAGGTAACCCTTCTTCCAATCGTAGCCAGGTACCTTCTCTTCCTTCCACACCTTCTGCAATAGTGGTGTGAGCATGTCTGCTGTTGTCTCTGCATCTGTTCTCAGTGCTTCTGGTGGGATTTCATCTGGTCCTGCTGCTTTCCCGCATTTCAGTAGCTTTATGGCGTTCAGGACTTCCATTTTCGTTAGGGGATTTATGTTCACTTGTAATTCAGCGGCTGCAGGTGGTATTTCTGGACGAAGTGCAGGTGGTGGTCGATTCAAGAGCTTCTTGAAGTGGTCGGCCCATCGTTTCCTCTGTTTCTCTTCTTTTGTAATTAAATTTCCTTCTTCATCTTTTATTGGTTTCATCTGTGTTGGTCTCTTCCCTGATAGCAACCTGGTTATTTGATACAATGTCGTCAGGTCTCTCTTACCTGCAGCCTGTTCTGCTTCACTTGCCAGGGTTTCGTAGAAGTGTCTTTTGTCTTTGCGTGCACTCTTCTTCACTTCTTTGTTCAGTGTTTTATACATTGTGCTCAGTTCCTCTTGTCGTTGAGCATCCTTGCACTGGTTTATCTTCTGCTTCACCATCCTCCTCTCTCTCCCTATCAGCTTCCATGTGTCCGTCGAGATCCATTCTTTATCTTCTTTCTTCTTCCTTCCTAATACGGTTGTGCAGGTTTCTTTTCATACAGCTTTCAAAGACTTCCAGTGTTCTTCCACACAGGTTTCTTCAGGGATGTTCCTCGATATCTCCCATTTTGTCTTGATGGCTGCCTTGAAGATCTCCTTTGTAGTTTCATCCTTCAGTTTCCGAGTGTTGTACTTGAATTGAGGTCTATCACCAGCTTCCTTGAAGGCTTTTAACTTGATTTGGAAGGTTCCTTGCACTAGATGGCGAGTGGTGTGAACCTACATCTGCTCCTCTTCTTGACCTTGTGTTAAGTAGACTGCGTCTCCATTTTCTTGAGATTGAGATAAAGTCGATTTGATTTTTAGTGTGTCCATCTGGTGAAGTCCATGTCGCTTTGTGGATATCCTTGTGCCTGAACACACTGCCTCCAATCACCAAATCGTTGAATGCACAGAATTCTGCAAACAATTCTCCATTCTCATTC